CAAATAGACACCTGACATATTAATCGCAATTAAATTATTCACCGTAAAGACGAGACAAGATAGAAGCCGAACAAGATACATAAAGTAAGCAAAGTTTTTATAATCCCGCATATCATAAATGACGCGTTCGAATTCGAACAGCGACTGGACAGAGACTCGCTCTAGCAACCTCCGAAATCTTATCAAGAGAAACATGGGTAGAAATTCACACAACCGATACACCAAGGATAGAAGAGTCCGAAAATTAGCCACTCGTTCCACACATTCTCCCCCCGCACGCGCGTATCTCCGTGCTTCGATTCGCGAGTCATATCGTCGCTGATAAATCCGCGAAGCGATTCTCGTAATGCGACGCGACTGACGTCGAATCGACTAGCGCGCGATTAGCTGACACACCGCCGCACATTTATCCATTTTCCGGCCCGGCTTTACTTTCCCGACTTCCGGAGTACAGCGGCTCGCATAATAACGCGCGCTCGCGAGGAGGACCTCCTTTGATCCTTTCGGTGGGGCCGATTTCGATACAGAGACGCGCGGAATGTCGATACGGGCCGGAGCCGAGCTATTCGGACATCCTGACGAGTTCTTCCCCCCGCTGAATTTGCGCTCGTATGTGTTCGTGCATGTACGTGTATATGCGCGCCTGTGTGTTCTATGAACTCCCTTTTATCGGCCAAAAACGGCGCCGGCCGCCGCATGGAATGGCATGCACCTATGATCGCGCAAGCATCCGCGGCACGATACACCCTCCCGCACAACCATGCGCTCGTGCTCTCGCTCGCATCGTGTGGAAGTATATATGTGTATGTTAATGGAGGCGATCGTATAACATGATCTACACTCCGCGCATGGCTATAACGTTTCGATTATAGGGTGCTGCTATTCGACCCGGTTAAACCATCGCACATGGGTTTAGCAGGCAGGCAGGCAGGCAGGCAGGCAGCCGCCCGCCGGCTCGGTTCCCACTTCCAAGTGAACTAATCATATCGACGGGCCCGGGCTCGATATCGAAATCGCGCGATGTATACGCCGGGGTTAGACTAACGAATACGTTATGCCGGCTCGATTAAGACGGTGAAGCCGTCGCCGAGGAACGGGCTAATCGAAACTCGATGTTACCGGCGATAACACCACTCGCGGTTTCCACGCGGGATCGCAATATATAAACGTGAATAGATGCGTCTATTCGACCGAGCGTTTCCGCGTCGTCGAGTCGAAGAGCCTGGATGAACATGTATCGCGTCGGTTACGCGCCTATCTAGCCGGCTGAACTACGTGTATCACAGTTAAAAACGAGAGGAGACAGAGATAGAGAGAGACAGAGACAGAGACAGAGACAGAGACAGAGACAGAGACAGAGACAGAGACAGAGAGAGAGAGAGAGAGAGAGAGAGAGAGAGAGAAGTTACGGTAATGGAGACATGTAAATTAAGTACGAGGTGGAACACCGTTATTTGCGAGCGTCGACGGGAAGTATGAATCGAGTATCGACTTACCAACTTTCAAGGTGGTCGCCTGAACGGAGACAAGATATCGCGGTGAATATAAAGATACGGAAGAACGAAAATATAGCATTTTATTATTATTCGTGAAAATGAATTCGCTTTGCGCGAATGTAATTCGCTTTTATTTACCCCGGAAAGAAAAAATGGCCAACTCCGAAAAAAATCGTAAGCTTTTGAGACCGTGAATCGTATTCCTGAGCTCCGAAGATCGTGAATCCTTTAATACAATTATAAAATTTTATAAAAGTATCAGAAATTATATAACGATACCTAGACATTAATCAGAAATTATATAACGATTTCACATCTTTAATGTGTGGATGTCAAATAAATTTAAAAAAGCAAATATACATTTTCGTTTTCGAGCAGCATATTTTCATAAAAACTCGTCATTCTAATCGCTGATAAAAATACATCGCATTGATTATTGGTGATTCTCTAATGTCAATTTATTCTTCGACTTATTCGAAATCTCAACGCTCTGCTTCGGTTGTCGCGTAATTATTGAGGGAGAAGTTTTGCGAACAAAAGATCGCGCGATGCGCGTCGAGATCGATCGTAATTTTTGTCAATCATAATTATTCTGCTAATTTTGTTTGAAATTCGAAATAATCGTGGCGCACGATCGGCGCTGAATTTAGGTAAAGCAAGCAATCTAACGCGCCGTACCTACATGCGAGGCAGCTAATCAACGAAGCGAATCGCTGTGTGTTGACAGTGCCGTCGATTTCTACTCTTGGAGGCTCACACGCGTGTGCCCTCGCGTGCACACATCGTCGTCACGGTATGTACGCGCGCGTGGACGCGACTGTACACACGGACGACGGCATTTAACGTTTCCTTCTCGTGCGTTTCCCGCCTACTCGGTGGACTTTTCCCGCATGCGAGTGAGCTCTCTCGCGTTTGATCGCGACGTGCGAGTGGTCACGCGAAAACACCCCGTTCAATGTGTCAAGTCATTTTCTTCTTGCGTTTTCCCGGAGGTGCATGTTGATAAATACGGAGGGAGATGGAAAGATAGAAATAGGCAACAGACAGCCGGGGGTAGGTAGGGGGGAGGGCGCGATATTTATTTCAGGTCTCTTTGAGGCGAAAAACGAGACGTCGGATGAAAGAGGCGCAAATGGAAGTGAAACAAAGATTACATTTTCATTAAAGCAACTTCATTTTCCCCCATTCCTATTTGCGAAACCTAATTTGTAGAGCGAAAAGTCGTAAAAAGATACGGTAAGAGGAGGAGAACGGGTTGCATTAGCCGGAGTACACTGGTTTATTGGAGATTTCTTGTCGCTAATATCGGAAATAACTACACGCGTTTCTTTTGGTCTGTCGACATTACTGACATTTCGCTCTTTATGGTATCACCGCGCACAAAATGTCCTCTGAGTAATCGTGCAATACTTTAATGGCGCATTGCGCAACTTAATCGGTGCCGGAAATCCGTATGCAAGAATGTTGCGATAAGTCGCCGAGTTATGAGCGAGATTCAAGTTGGCTGGTGAACTGCAGAACGCGCTATTTTTAAGTATCACTAGGGATATCCGTTGATAGGGATATTTTCGATCGGATCGAGTCGTAAGTTTCGTATTTCTCAGTCAAATTTCGCTTCTACATTAACTCCATTATTTACATCGATTTCGCAAATTTTACGTGACTTGCAAGATCAATGGAGAATATCGGAGAAAATAGCAGAAAGATCTTTGCCTTTTTTAGATATTTCGGAATTATTTATAATATTCGATTTGAACCAGAGTAGCGCCCAGGTGTGGCCCCAGATTGCCCCAGATTAATATTCCTCTTCAAAAGTTTTAAATAATTTTCTTTACTAATGTTGAGAATTTTAATAAAAGCTTATAAAGATTCAAAAGTGAGAAAGAAGGAATACAAGTGGTAAAGATAAACATGTGATCAGAACGTGTGATCAAAGATATTAATAGAGATTTAAGCCACAAATCAGTATCAGTAAATTCACGATCAATTTCGATTCGAGTTTTTCTGATGTGAATTTATTTCATTATTTGTGTTATAGTTCCGCAGAACGATATACATTCGCTCTTATTTCCTTCGTTACAAACCAATGCAATTTATGTCTACGTATGCACTACTACTGACGTGACGCTTTGTGAGCATCCAAATTGTACGCTCACCCTTTCACGTTGAATCCTCCGATGTCAGGTCCGTCGACATCCAGCCCGGTTCTCCGTTGAAATTAGCCGCTGCATCCCTTCGTCACCGGAAGTCGGTAGGCTCCAGTCGCTGTCGTCCCACGTTGATTGCACTTTACACTTTACTCGCGTCGCGATTAGCTCACGTTTTAACGGCGTATTAAACACGGCGTCAAAATGACAGATTTCAAGACGGATCGGAATTTGCCGTTTTGATTAACGAGAGGTTAATGAAACTCGTTCAACGAAAATTTGTCACGATACGTTGCAGTTTCGGTTCTTCGCGAACGTGCTTACGAAATTTCGGCATCTCTGGAAAACACGATAGCAGCTCGCAAATCGCGTATGAAAAATCGAAAAGTCAACCGCGGCAATCCCAAGTCAACGCGGTCAATTTATTTTGCGAGCAAAATAACCGCAGAATGTAAAATAATCACGAGTGAAAACGTTACAAATAGAATCATGGGAGAATGATATTTTGTCGAAACTCACTTGCGCGATATTGAAATTCATACAACAATATTCGTCTTTATTTACGAAACGTAATTGCGACAGGAGCACGCGCGTGACGAATTTAAAAAGTTAATGACCGAGACAATCGAATCTGTCAACGCCAACAAAATAATATATGCGCGGTGGCGCAATTCTGATGCGCATTATACCCAAAACAATTGTTGCCCAAAACAATCGAGAGATCGCATTAAAATAAATAATTTTGCCAAATGATTCTATAGTTCGGACAAGATGTTAAAATAAATAGCCAAATATATAACATGTTGACATAAAAGATCATTTTGTTAAAGATTAAAATCAGATTACTCAAGATTTAGATAATCATCGATTGCATAAACATCTTAAGAATTGACCTCCTAATTGTTTGAAATAGTATGTTTTATCTGAGAATACCAACAGATATGTGCAAAATTGACTAACTATATAAATCACATTGGTTTGTATGAGAATTCGCAAGACCAATCATTTTAAATTTTCTCGCATTTGTTTTCCAATTAATTTTTCACTCACCGATCACCTGCAGCTCAGAGTCGGCCACGTGCAGCTACAAGATCTGAAACAAGAAAGTAAACAATTCGATTAATTAAATATATGGATTCGGGTTAACTTTAACAAGTAAGCGCAAAGATATGCAAACGGATTAACCGTTTGCGCTTGTAATTCCAGTTATCCTGTAATCCCGACTATATTCCGGTTTTCAACGACAAAGGATAGAGAAGAGAAATATATGGAAAGTTTATGAATTTACCTTCGAGCCGACTCTGCTTGGCCCGAACCGGATCCTCCGGTACGGCATTCGCGTCCACTGGAATCACCTCCCGGAACTGTCCACCAGGTCGAGTCCATCAGCCTTCCCGGCGCGACTGTAAGAAATTTCGTCAGACCTGAAGCAGAAAAAATATATAATTTTCTTAAGAGATATTATTATATGTAATATTATTAAATAATATTCGGCCCAAGAGCGAAAGAAGTGCTTGATATGGACAAATTTGATACGGACACAAAGTGATACATACCTTTGCGATCTCACGAAGCTCTCAATGCTTGCGACTGCAGCAGACACGACGATCGCGGCGCGAATATTGTAAACTTTTATCATACCAGCTCTCCGATTAATTTAACAGAACTGAAAACTACAGACGACGTCGTCTTGCTTGCTCACTGTCCCACGTCCGACACTGTTATGATCGCGGAGCTATACGCGTTACGCCGAAGGTCGCGTCGACCTACGGCGCGCTCGGCCGATTTGTTTTCGAACACAGATCTGTAACAAAGAAGACTCATGTCAGTGCGAATAACGAGAAAAATTTGTCAATAAACAAACAAATCGACCTTTCGCCGTTCGCCGTCTGCCTCGGCGGTTGCGTTCGAGCGTTGCGATTGCGCAACGCTCGCGAGTAATTGGGTTTCGCTATGAGCAGACACGCAACGCGTTTCCTCCATCTGAGGGAGAAGGAGAAAGCGAGAGAAAGAGAGTTATAGCTCTAAATAATTCCACGCTAGAAAGTTTCAAGTGCTGAGGAAACGATCTCTTTCAATCGTCGAATGAGCGAACGCTAAATTCCAAGAGTTCCGCTTATTCGTTTACTTATCGAATTCTTATTTGTAATCGTTATTTGGAGCGGAGCTCCAGTCGATCGAGCGGGCTGTATGTTGGCATCGTCACCGGCACGAGAATCAATACATTTTATCAGCGATTCTATTATCGTAACTGAAATCAATTCCTAGCTATTCTCGTTTTAACTCTTGATAAACACGCTATATAAATGCGAAATAGGACCAATTTTATCCTACAGGATTTCTCCACGTTTTTCCCTCTTGGCTTTTTCTGAAGACTCTTGGAAAAAAAGTACGAGTCATGAAACATCAATTTTCACCTGCGAATAGTTAAAAAGTGTTCGACAGAGAAACTCAAAAGCCGAAATTGAGCTCAATAGGTCCCAATGATATACCGACGGTTAATTACGTCTGACACTTGTCTTGGTGGTTAATTACCGTTCGTAAATTATCGCTCGAAAGTACAGATTGCGCGGTGATATACGCGGCGATATGGACGATATATCGGCGGGCGTAATTTTAGCCGTCGGTTATTGGCTTCCATTCCGTCGACGACTACTGTTGACGATTGTTTCGCCGGAGTAACCAGACGCCATGCACTCGCGCCATGTGCGAGAGGTAGAACGCGCGAGTCGCGGGTGTCTTCGGCAGCCGCACGGCCGATTTTGCCGCGCGTAGCTACCGAAGCTACCGCTTCGCGTCTCCATTCTTCCGCGAGACGTAGGTAAGAACGATATTAGATTTACCCAGGAAGCGGGAACCTTTTCACGTAACCTACGCCCGGAAAAACCCTCGGCGCGCCCGCGCGCGCGCGCCAACGCTGGCGAGAGAGCGATAAACGACGCGTCACGGCGCCGTTTTCGCGATATCAATCCGATCGTCGTGCCGGAGCGAGAGATGCACGCGCGCGCGCGCGCGCGCGAGAAATATATTTCTGGAAATAGATTATCGGTTCGACGACGCGGAAAGTAAAAACGCTGAAGCACGTTGAAGCCGCGGATGTGAGCCCGATCCGTGCGCGCGCGAGAGCGCTTCGTCGATGTCGGATAAAACGTGAAACGCGTGATTCGACAACTCGCAACGTTGGAGGAGCGAAGAGAAAGCAAAAAATCACATGTGCTCGTAATGCGTTCGCGATATATATGATAAATCATTACGCACTGTCTCGTCGCGCTTTATCGCGGATCACGTCGGAAATATCTCGCTGCAGGATGGATTGTCCGCGACTTAAAATAACCTTCCACGATCTCTACAATGCAATTTATTATCGTCGCGTGAGATCCTTTCCGAAAGATAAAAGATAGACAGTAATAGACGCGTATATCTCGCCACTGACTAATATTTAGCAACAGCGACGAATAAAATAAGCGGTTCCGCTGTCGGTCAAGAATCAACGACCCCTGTGAAGCACGCGAATAAAACTGAAAATACAGAAAATACAATCGCCGAGTGGTTCTTCGATATCCTCTCGATTACATGACATCCTCTTGTTAAATGTTATATGACATCCGGTCATGTTCTCAGATGTCTTAAATTATATCATCGTATGAGCAACTCTTTCTGTCCCTCTCACTGTCTTTCTTTCTTTCTCTCTCTCTCTCTCTCTCTCTCTCTCTCTCTCTCTCTCTCTCTCTCTCTCTCTCTCTCTCTCTCTCTCTCTCTCTCTCTCTGTCTGTCTCTGTCTCTGTCTCTCTCCCTTTCACTCGACCACACTCGAGCACGAATATTGAAAAGCGAATACATAAGGACGACAAGAGGGGAGGGAGCGATGGCTCCAAGAGCCGAGAACACATTTTCATATCGCATCGAGTAAGAAATTCCGCATATTCCGATAATCCGTTCCTTCGTCGTCACGTAGAAAACGTGCGCCGGCGTTACCGTATATACGCCGAAACCGTGTCCCTAATGGAAAGTTTTCTTTTTCCTTTGGACTGTATTTTTCGTCGACGGGCGCGCGCGTCGTGTATCCTCCCCTCGAATTTCATCACGGCGTATCTCGTATTTTGTGCGATTTCGCATGTACATATACATGAGAGTCCGCGCGAGCGAGCGAGCGAGCGAGAACGCGGAGCTACGCGCCGTGATATCGGTTTCTTTTCGGGGAAAGCCCAGAAATCCCTGATTCGTTCCGCCCGCTAACATTGTCGTTCGTCAGGCTACGAGTAAAATCCTTTATCTGCTTTCCCGGCCGCGAGTTTTAAGGTACCAAAAAATAGAGCTCTTTCTCTCCATCTCCATCTCCCTCTCTCTCTCTCTCTCTCTCTCTCTCTCTCTCTCTCTCTCTCTCTCTCACACACACACACACACACACATCGAGTCCGTGGTGCAGTGAATGATCGTGTGAGAGGCCGTAAGCTCTCACCACATGTCGTGAAATTGACAACGTGATGTGTGAGGTGCTCGAAAGAGGTACGAGACTCGTATTGTACGGATAATTAGCGCACTCGAGGCTTTCGTTGCGGTATTATTGTTACAACGCGCACCACTCGATCATGTGCACGCGCGCTTGGAAAAAGTTTCAATCACAATATGACGTCGGTACAAATATGAGAGGTTGACGTTTTTTTCCGTGAAACGGGCAAACATCAATCCGCTACGGAATCGTAAATAAGGTGAGGCGGTGAGTTGATTGTGAAACAAAAGAAAAAAGAAAAAAAAAATGGAGAACGATTTCACTCGCGCAGCGTCATGCCAGCTAAATCGCATTCGCCCTAATTTATTATTTCGGCTAATGCAATTTCCGCCGTAGAACGAACGCAACGAGAATGTGCTGCGAAAGCAGCTCAATATAATAAACGAGTCATTTTATCGAAAGCAACTTCTTTCGCGGACTGCGCTGATAACTATGAATAAATGCTGCAACAACGTGCGCGATCGATGCTGCCCGTCCGATCGAGCGAGAACTGTTTTCGCCTCGCGTTGTTTCCTCCTTTTTTTCAAATATCAACGCTTTGCGGGGAAAATAAATTCCGCGGCGGTTCGAAAAAATGTCGTATTTGCGTGAGATTTATTGTTTCGCGGGATCGCGAGGGGGCGGGCGGCGCGCAACTTCCGCCCGCCATTCGCTGTGGCGATATTATAATTGAATTATCCGCATTCATCGAATAAATTTACTTACCCATTGCGTGGCGTATCGTCACGACCAACCGCTCGTCCCTCTCGTCCAGATTTCCGTTCCGGTCCAGATCTTCGTTCTCGTTATATTCCGTTCCTAACGGACGCGCTTCTTCTTTCTATCTCTCTCTCTCTCTCTCTCTCTTTCCTTTTCGTTCTCTCTTCTTTTCTCCCTCTCGCTCACTCGCTCGCGCGCAAGAATTGACGCGTATTGGGAAAAAAGCGCGCCCAAAGCACGACAATAACGATGAGCGGCCGTGCGTTGCTGTATATTCGGCGGCGTGCGGCCTGCGACGAGCTTCGTTGCCCCACGGCCGATTAACGAGGCGAGAGCGCGAGCGAGAAAAACGCGCGCGCGGTAGTGCGGCGCGCGACCGTCATCGGTTAGATTATGCGCGCCCGGTGGCGTAAAACGACGCGACGCTGTCCCGGCCGTGTGATGTACGGCGTCGCGCATCCCCGCGTAAAGCATGAACCATTGCGCGACAACTTTACGCGGCACTCCCGATATTGACTCGGCGAGTCATTTTTGCGACGAATCTCACTGGCACGAACGCGACGCACGAATCGATAACGACCGGCACGGGTGAAACGATCGCGACGCCATGTTGAGAATCACCGGTGATCCGGTGAGGGCAAATGGCGGTTAGCCGTGAACAACGGCGATTGATATAGATCGATATCTCCATTCCGTTCGATGCTCTTGCGCATACCTCTCGTGCCAGCGAATCGAGGGAGTTACTCCGAGTACAGAAAGTATAGCGCGGTGCAGTTTGAAGAGTGCACATCCCGATATTTACCGTTTCACTATTCGCTATTCCGAATAAAAGGAAAGTTCGGGAATGCCCGAACGAGTGAACGACTTCTCTCTCGCATTGGGCGCCTTGTGTTTGTGTTTGTGTCCGTATAGACACCCCGGCTGAAGACGTTATTTCATTCTTAGAACATGACGCGGCCGATTCATTCATCTTTTTGCGTGAGAGCTTTTTACTCACCTCTCGCCCCTTCCTTCCCTCTACGGGAGCTCGCTTCATTCTCTCTATCTTTCTATCTCTCTGCCTCTCCTCACCGTGGCGTGCGAGGGGTACGCAGCAAGTAGAGAGGAGCATATGGTCAATCATTGAGTATCCGTCTGCTCGCGAGGAGAGGACAGCGCTGATTGGTCCGTCGTCGCCGGTCGGCTGGCGCGGCTCGTGGCTTTCGGTTCGCCGCGCTCGAGTCGGCTCGCTCGCTCAGTCGTACTCGAACCGCGCATCGGCCAGGGTCGTGCGCCGCCCTCTCTCTCTCGCGAGTCCGCCGCGCGCCGCTCTGTGTGCGCGAGAGCGCGCATACGCCAGACTACCACGCGAAAACGTGTGCGGCGGGGCACGTTGTCGTCGTGCTGTCGCCCTAAGCGCGTGTGCCTCGCGTATCGCCGGTGTCATGTTGACAAATGAACCTCCGACGAGCGGAGTCTGCGGGAGAAAAGTGCGTCGGTAAGTTTCTCCTCACGTTGTCGCCATAGCGCCGTTCTCTTTCGAGAAAGAGAGAAAGAGAGGGGGAGAGATAGAGACAGATCAGCGTGACGTTAGCTTCGAATCGCGTCGTTCGGGACAAGACAAGTCCGCGTTGGCTGTCGTCTTCACTTGAAAGGCACGACGAGAGACGGCTTCGTCGGGGAGACAAACGCGACACGGTAGGGAAAATACGTTACAGTAAATCGGAAAAGCGGAGCATGGAGACCGATGGCAAGGCGCGCTTCGATCATTATCAGTTATTCGCCGACGTACAAGACGATCGACGCGCGACGACGACGGTACAGCGGCAACAAGGTTAACGTAATCGCTCGCTCGCTCGCTTGCGTGTCGTTCACCGTAACCGAGGCTACGCGTTCGTCTACAAACTAGTGTCATTTATCGTTTTAAATGGAGGAGCGCGGCGAAGTTGTCGGCAACAACGCAGCTCCTCCTCTTCGTCGTCACCGCTCGATATTTTCCGTGTGAAACGTGTGTTGGACGCGCCTCAAGATAGAGACAGAGAACTAGAGGAAAAGAGAAAGAGAGAGAGAGAGAGAGAGAGCGAGTGCAAAATCCGATAACGGTGGATCGTTTTCCATCCGGGAGAGAACATCGCGCGTCGTCGTCCTCGTCTTTCTCGTCCTCGGGCCGCGAGATTGCCAACGTAGGGGAAGGTCACCCGAGTCCGCGAGTCGAACTCGACGCGGCCGCACGCGTACTCTTTCAAAGACGATCGCGCAATTCGAACACGCCATTTTGCGCGCCGGCGATCGGCCGCGGCCGAAGTGTGCATCGACCTGCATACGTGCGAACGGCCATACGAACGCATCGTCTTCGTCATCACCGCCGCCGTCGTCGGCTGTAGTTGGATGCTCTTGGCAGCCTACGACGTTCCCTCCTCTCCCCGTGTCGCGTCGTCGTCGAGACGTCCGTAATTCGCGCGCGGGCGACGTCCTCTCGCGTGGAACGAACACGAACTCGGGCTGTGCGCGCAACGGGACAGAGAGAGAGAGAGAGAGAGAGAGAGAGAGAGACATAGAGAGAGACAGATGCATGGATAGATCGTCTTCGACGTGATCTGCCGTTGACGTGACCTAGCCTAACGTAACTTTCGCGTCGGCACACCGGGGCACTTCCACCTGCTCCTCGCCCGACCTCCCGGTCTTCCGCCGAGGTTATCGCGAGTGTCAGTGTGTGTGTTCAAGAGTAAGCGCTTTCTTCAGCCCGCTGCGACCTTCCGGAGCCTGCCTGCGACCGTCGGATGGGCCTACGGACCCGACGTGTGGGGGGCCGCTGTTGCTGCACTGCTGGTGAGTAATTAAGCACGATACTTATGCGACATTTACCAAGCGATGAGTCCGCGAAAACGACTGGCTCGCTGATGCTCTCTCTCTCTCTCTCTCTCTGCCGCGAGTCAGTCCCGAGAGTGAGAGCGCGAAATCGACGGAGTTTCATCGGCGCGAATTAGGGAATTTATAAAACTATTTTATCTGAGTGATACACATGCACACAGCCCCGTGGTCGTTTACTTTGCCCAGCGTGGGAGGCTCTCGGCCCGGGTGATATTTTATCTTCCTTCTCCCTTTCTCTCCTCTTTTCTTTTTGTTAAAGCGCCCTCAAATCTTGATTAACACCGTTATCTGTTACTTTAAATTCACTCCACTCCGTTGCAAATTGAATTTGTGCCGCGTGCGCGGAAACAAATGACCCAGGGCGAAATACGCGCGTCGTGCGTATTACGCATCATCGAGACACGAGGACGTATTTTTGTAATCCAGGATAAAGGGGAGCGCGCGCTGGAAATTAGGTTAATGTAAGCTAGAAAAGCGTTGTACATTCATCATACGAGACAAACGCGGCCGCCGCCCCGCCCCGTCCCGTGACCGACAGTATGCGCATATTGTGCGTGTGCGCGTGTATGTATACACATGTTTGCGGTAAAATTCCATTCTTTTTGACACCGCTCTTTTCCTGGCGCTGTCTCTTTTTTGTCCTCCTCCCCCTCCCCCATATCGCGAAAACGCTGAAAAACGCGGGCACTTTGCGAGGACAATCCGTTCGCCATGTACCGTGTAATGACTCGCGTCAAATCATGAAATACACTTTTCCGGTCGCGATTCGTCATTTGCTCGCGGAGCGAGTGCGAGGGGGGGGGGGCAGTAGGACGATATAACTTTTCGGCGGATGTGAAAGGTGTATGGAGCGCACCGCGGGATATACTGATACAGTTTTTCGGGCCCTCTCGCCTGCGCGCGCGCGCGCGCATCGTCTATAAATATTCAATTTATGCGCGTCACTGTATATGGGTGTGCATGAATATTTAACTATCCGGTTATATGAAGCAAGACAGAAGCGTCTCAAAGTCGCCGAGCGCGCTTTGAGCCGCGCCATAAGGACATTTTTAGCTCGTTACTTCAGCTGTTGCTTTTAATCACGAGCCACGTAATCCTCCTTCGAGTCGATCTGCATGCGATCTCGCCGGCGATCTCGCGCATATTTTCGGCGCACGAGCGAGTGCGCTCTCCCGTTCTCGTCAAGTATTTGCCTTTTAACCCTCCCTCCTCCCGCCGTGCTCATCGCGTCGCGCGCGCATTTCTTTTATCTCGATCTCTTCCAATCGATAATCCCGCTCTTGGAGATGAGGAAAAACGGCACGACCGCGACACGTACGCCGGCATACATGTTGAATTTCGCGTGGCGACTGTTCCGGTGAATAATCGTCGTCCAGCGTGGACGACACGACTTGTCATGATTGTCGCTGCAATATTAACAGCGCCGCTATTTCCACATCTCATGATTACTCGACGCGTCCCGAAGCCAAATTATGGCGAATGGCGGACGAGTTTGCCGCAGTTCCACATTTTCTTTCGTTCATCTGATATTCATGCGCCGGACTCTCGTCGTCGTGTAAAAATTAGCGCGAAAGTTTGATCGACAGAATCGCGGCTTCCTCTCTCGTGCGGTGCATTCAACGTTAAGAGATGCTTCTCTGGAAAATTGTCCCCAATTGTCGCGTCGCTCAGGCGATATCAATTAATCGCGAATGTATAGCGTGTACACATGCGAGATGGCAACCGGTTGTGAATATAAACTTCAACTATATTTGCGTGCGCGAATAAACACAACAAAACTCCCCCCGTGTGTGTGTATGTGTGAGAAAGAGAGAGAGAGAGAGAGAGAGAGAGAGAGAGAGAGTCCGGCAAGCGCGATGTTTCGCGATATTTGAAACGTTCCGGACAAAGGCGAAGAGGTGGGGTAGGTTAGGTCAGGTCAGGTTAGGTCAGGTTAGGTTGCGTTAGTTTAAACTGCCTAAGGATTAATTGCGTCCGCAAAAGGACACCGCTCCTCGGTCGTCGCGAAGCTGCAAAAAGGCGCGGTCGCACCGCGCGGAGAAATAATATCCGGCCGCGGCGCGCTTTAAAGGCTCGCAGAAACCTCGGCGCGAGGGATGGGAGGGAGTCCCGCGTATATTTCGTCGGCACATGGCGCCTGAAAATAGTCGGCCGTTTTGGAGCGTCTTTCCGCGGGCCGTTTAGAAGAGAGAGAGAGAGAGAGAGAGAGAGAGAGAGAGAGAGAGAGAGAGAGACAGAGCGAGAGAGAGAGAGAGAGACAGAGCGAGATAAAGCGAGAGAAAGCCCACGGGTGGAGAAAGATGAGGTGGATAGCTGGCGCTAATTGGTTAATGCCCGTCATTACTATACTCGCCTGTGCGGGCGACGAGGCAGCGAGGGGGGCGGAAGGGTTTAGGGAAGGGGAGAAGGCGAGGAGAATTAAAACCGGGCTATCAAGCGACGAGAGAAGAAAGAGCCTGGGGAAAAAGGGTCCTTCCTTCGCGATCTTTTTAGTGAGGGGTTATTTCGGTCTCGTTTGCACGACTGCCCGACGGGAATGTGGGGGATATATACCGCGGAGTCGTGTAAAAATAATCCTCTCTCTCTCTCTCTCTCTCTCTCTCTTTCTCTTTCTCTAGTATCGTTTGATTAAACGCCTCCCCATCGTAATGAGCCGTCGGCAGGCTAATCGCCGGTTGTCTTGCGCACGATCATATTAAGAATTTCTCTCGGTTAACTCCGGTTTTTCTTTTCTTTTTAATGGCTTTATATATCGGCGAATGATGGTGGGAGAAGGTGTTGAACTGTCGATATTTTCCCACTGTGGTTTCCATGTTACTTTGCCTCGGAATTAGGCACGAGGCAATTCGGCCGGCTCGACTGTACCGTTTAGTTTCGCTTGCGCGATGTCGATTACAACCGCGGGTGCATTTTTTTTTTTCATTTCAGTCGGCATGCATGACCGTGCGGGTTTGTTCGTCCGGAGGTCTCGTTAAGGTCAGGCGAGTGGGGGACCTTATCGCGACTATAGTCCGCGCTCGACCTCGGGGCACGTGATCCCGCAATTAGCAGTAGTCGACGTTTACTTTGGCGACAAAGGGAGAGCCGTCACCTCTCCCATTACATATTCTAAAAAACGCGTGAGTTTCACGGGAGAGACGTTCCACCACATTTCGTACTACTACCGACTCGTTTCTAGTTAAATTTTATGTTTGAAACATTCAGCGAGAGAGAGAGAAAGAGAGAGAGAGAGAGAGAGGGAGAGAGAGAGAGAGAGAGAGAGAGAGAGAGAGAGAGAGAGAGAGAGGGGCAAAGGGCGGGAAGGGGAGATATCTATTTACCGTGTATTCTGTGAAGTACTTTGAAAATAATTATATTAATATCAACTGGAATTATCCGCAATAGGCGTGCACGTATATATTATGTATAGTGCATTATTAAATTTCATTTGCAGGATTTACCTATGCCGAACTACATTAATTAACTTCTACAAGCAATTTTGTAATTGACGTAATACGAGTAAATTGATGATCAGCTTATCGGTGAGGAAGAAGAGGGGAGAGGGAGGGAGTTTCCGTTGTTGTTTGGCTTGTACGCGCGTCCATTTACTAAATATTACAGTAATGATGCTTTTATATGGCGCGATGGACTTAATATGCGCATAACGCGCAAAATATACGCGGCGGTATTTCAAAATTGCGGTCTCCCTCTTCCCCCCCGCCCCGTCGCCTTCCGTGAAAATAACCGGAAGATTAGCGCGTCGGTGTAACGAGAACTGAGATTGCGCTCGCACTCGCGCGGAATCTGTGCGATTTTAAGGCGGTGCCATCGCGATTACGAGAGGCTGCTCCTCCCGTCCCTTCTCTGTTTCGGCGTCATAAATATCGCCGCGCGTTACGCTTATCTCGGACATATTGCGGCCCGCGGGTCCTTCAGATTTCCGCGGTTACATCGACGTTACTCTTTTCGTATCTCGCCGACGCCAGCGACTACAGATACAAAAGCGCCCCGTTATCGAGAGCGGCCCGGCTTCGAATTCTGCGTACAGGCGTTCGGCGCCCGACCGCCTCCCTTGCTCTCGCTCGTTCGTTCGATTCTTGAGCGATCGGTAACTGCGATTCGATCCTCGCACGTAAAACGAAAGTATGAGAAATTGAAAGATTCCAGATAGGGCGGCGGCGGCCGACATGTAAGTTCGCAGTCACGTGAGGCCGAGTGACTAACACCCTCGCGTCTTTGCTACACGAGAATACACTTATGCCAGCGAGGCATTCATTTTCCGCTATCGTGAGCCGTACTTCTCGCGCAAGTGGTTCGCGAGATTGAAAAATTCTAGATAAGAAGATGTTAAACTGCATCCACCCCGCCTTCGAGCGCAACCGCCGGAGCACCCACGCGACTCTCTCTCTCTCTCTCTCTCTCTCTTACATACACATTTTCCCACTCGCTTACTCTCTTCTTCGCTCTCTATTAATCGAGTTTTAGAACGACGCGGAATTAGAACGCCCGTGTCAATAACTTCGCCGCCGATTCTCGCTGAAATATCGTCCTTAGCTCGTCTTGACCCGAATCTAAATCTCATAAATTTTAACATATTTCCCATGTTTTTTGTACGCGCGCAGCGGCGAGAGAGCGGGGGTGCGCACGGGCAGCAGTCGCGATAGGAATTTTTACACGGCGTGCATGTGTACGCTCTCGCGGCGCGAGAGTATCGAGCGAGAGCGTCGAGAGAGGCGTTACTCGCGAAACTGATGAGTTACAAAACCGCGAGGCCGTGATTAATTAATCCGCGCGCTTCGTCCGATATTCTTCGCTTAAGACTTATTAATTACGACCGGACGGCAGCCTGACCGGGCCGACCGACTTCTACGTGCTACGGACGCGCGATCGCGAAGCGGATATTTCTCACGCCTTATCATCCCCTCGCATTATGCAAGGCTTCGCGAGAGGCTACGCTTGGGATTCTCAAAAGGGTCTGA